CCGAGGATGGTGCCGTTGACGCAAGCAATTTTCTTGCCACTGTGACAAGAACGTTGCAATACCATCGCTCTCTCCGGCTGCTGCTGTCAGCGCTGAGAGAAGCAGGCTCGCAGGGGATTCAAAGCCTCGGATCAAAGAGTCAGCCATCAGCCCCCAAAAACCCAAGTCGAATGAGAGTCTCGCACTAGGCTTGAAGCGGCATGATCGGCAAGGACCAACGTGCAAATCCACCGAGGGTTGCGAGCTCCACAGAGTCCTAGACTTGTACCTACGCCACCGTCCCGACTGTCTGTTGCCGAGATGGAACGCATCTAGAAGTACTCAAAGGGGAGGGCAGTCCATGTGGTCAGCCTGGCTTTATATACTATGAGGTGGCATGTGACAGAAGACCCCGAGAGTTGTCTGTCGGAAATCATCAGGCAAATACCTCCGGCGGGAAACGCCTGGTTCGGTTTACATACACGTCGACCTTGGGCCGTCGTCATTGATTGCACGATCTTAGAAGTGTTTTTGCACCTAACCTATAACATTTTGCGTACGAATATCCGTACAGGTGACCAATAAACTGATGTTACGCGCCTATTAGTCGACAAGGGCGGACTACTGATTTCCGCAAGTTGTGTACCGAGACAGATAAAGAAGCCCTCCACGCTACAGAAGTTGACGAATCGCAAATCCGGCGCCTTCGGTGTTGGTAGCCGGACCCCGGGGTCGGGCCCAACTAGTCACAAGACAAGCTATCTCTGTAATTCGTAGGTACCGCTGTCATACAGTTCGACTCTGGCCTTCAGCGTTAGGGTTGCTATATGATACCTACCTGTCCCGATATGCACCTAGGCTAATTCATGTCTGCGACGTATATGGCGAAAGCGATATCTACCCCTGGGTATACTCAGGTTCACTCGCGATGGTATTTTATTTACCATAACACGAAGGAGGAAGTATTGCGTGGACCTCCGCAGAAAGGAGTGCATCCGGATAGGTACATGCAGTAACAGTCAGCTCGAGGCAAGGTGGGGAAGGCCTGTCTTGTCCCACCACCCAAATACCATTGCGACTACAACAAACCTACCGTTCCAGCTCTGTACACACGTTCTACTCGTCGGTACATACAACCACCCGACTCGACCTAAACTCAACCCTCATCACATCGAGCTGGAAGTCCTGGCCACTAGAAGTATTTTCTGTCGCTGTCGGCGTACGCGCGTTCCTACGCCCGCACATACATCCTTCTGCTGGCGCTGGCTGAGAGGTATCTACTTACCTTACCTTACATTGGTCGTCCCCTGTCGGCTTGCGGCCCCTCCCCCCCCCCAGCCAGCTCCCTTTCACCCCTGCCACCACCACCCACCACAGGTCACCACCACCTCCACCTCTTGGCCGGATCCTGGGTCTGCTATCGCCGTTGCGCGCCGCTACGGCGGAAGATAACCTTCTCTGCGGTGTTCTGTACGTTACTTCGTACGCATTACAGCATCCCTGAGAGGTACCCAAGCACGCCTCGCACGCCTGTCTTCGTCACTGCGTGAGGAGAAGCTGCATTTCCCACGCTACTCTGGACCTTATTATCCTTACATCAGCCGTTAGTTGTGTTGCGAGTCTTGGGTGCTGGGGAAGCTGGATTCCTGCTGTCTCTCCTCCCACCCGCCGCCGCCGCCGCCGCCGCTTCTGCTACCGTTACCGCCGCCGTCACCGTCGCCGTTGCCGTCGCCGTGCTCGACGTCAGTGTCTCTGTGCCTCTGTGCCTCTCGGCTGCGACGCCGTCCGACGACGAGGCCGTTCCGGGCACTAGACGGGTTATGGGCCGTTGCTGGGGCTTTTTATGACATGTAACGAACTCGACACCGCCTCCCAGCAGCTTGTCCGACGATCGCTTTTCGCTAGAAGGCGCCGGCGCACGGCCGTTGATCGGGCATAGATGCGGCCGACGCAGCGCTGCCGCTAGACAACAGCCTTCTCGTCGTCGCCCTCTTCCTCGTCATATTCCCCTCTCCTCCTGCGTGCGCGACCGCCATGGCAGACCGAGTGGCCGCCTTCGTGCGGGTTTCCGGCCCGCCGAATAGTAGCTTCCTTGTTGGCTATCCTGGCATCTCAGCGACTCTGGTAAGTGCATGCGCTCCATTTACCCCCCCATGGTGCTTTGTTGCCTTGTCGCTGCCTCATCCCGCCTTTTCGTGTGGGGGTTTCGCCCATCCAGAGCCTCACGATGCAATCTACCCCAGTCGACCCCGAAGACGCCTTGCTTGAACTGACAGACGTGCGCAGCCGCGCATCGAGGGCAAAGTCGAGATCAGACCCCAGCAGGGCGTGTCGGCACCCGTCGCCATCTCGCTAGTTCGAATATGTCTGCAGCGCAGAGAATCCATCCACCCGGCCGCCGAGAACATGGCCAAGCGACACCTGGGCACCCCGAGACGCGAAACCATCGACGTGGTCGGTAAGGAGCTGTTACTGCATCGGTGCGCGAGCGGCAGGGAGGCCGACAGTGTCGTCGCCATGGACCTGCCCTTCATCCTCTTCATACCATTCGGACGAGGGGGCGAGGAGACAAACAGAAGGATACCGCCGGCGTCGCTGCAGCTGCCTAGTAGGACGGCCGAGACGTATTACGAGCTGGTCGTCACTGTCCAGCAGGGCCAGAGCGTACAGAATAAATATGCCTTCCCCGTCCCACTGCGGAGATACGATACCTTATCGACCTTCGGCATGTACAACCGGCCCGAGACCAAGATCGCAACCGCCGACAACATCGTGACCCTGGGTATTTCGCTGCCCAGGTGGAGCTATGGGCCCATGGATCCGATAACCGTATATATAAAACTGGCGCCCAATCTTGACTGGATGGCGAAGGCCAGGAAGGTCACCATACAGAAGATCACATTGGCGATCGAGGAGGAAATCACGTTCAATCCCGAGGGCGACGAGCCGACTAAGAAGGTCAATAGGCTGCAGAAGCACGTTCAGCCAGTCGGTGCCAAACTTCCGGAAGCCGGCTACGTGACGAACATGGGCGTTATATTTCCCCACAAGGACCTACGAGATCACAATGGAATCGTCCGGAGGGGGCAACCAGCTTTTCCACATTACGAGGTTACCTCATTCACAACATCATCGACGCTATATAAGATCGAGTTCTTCCTCACAATTAAGGTATGAACATACATGAAGACCCTGCTTTGTTTCCTGATCATATATGTCAGCCTTGTAGCTAACATCTACGTCCCTTTAGGCACACATGACTTCGGCCCGTGATATCACCCTCCGACAACCCATCGTCATTTGCCCGTTAGATCACCAGGCGTGTAAAGAAGAAATGGACGCGATTGAACAAGCAGCTAAAGACGCGTCGTCTGTCGACGTGACTAATCCGATGCTACCCGCCAGGCACATTGTTATGGCCCACGATCGCGATGCGCTATCGACGCTAGGGTTGTGTACGGTCGGAGGACAGAAGAAACCTCTAATCGAATGAGGACGCAGCCTGATCTTCAAGGTTCAGCGGTTGTCAATATCAGCAGCGCCGGCTTAGTCGAAAGCCCGTTCTCGAGTACGGGTTGCACGTTATTCTCCGCCCTCTGTAGCGTTGAGATACACGTGTTCGGACAAACCCGAAATCGCTGTTGCCTAAACCGACCCGAATTTGATGCCACGAGAGCTTACAGTATTACCTCGACATTGTGCGTGCTCTCCCGCAATGGAAGTGTCTGGCCTGTTCCAGACTGCGCAAAACCGACAGGCCAACATATCGATGGACTAGCTGCGAGTTCCGAGCGAAGGGCCTCAAGGAGGGAAGCAAGTTTCGACTCCCGCCCCTCTTGTCCCGCGAGGACTGCTCCACAACGTTATCATAAGACGAACTGTGCCAGCCTTCGCTTCGAAATGTGATACGAAGGGCGATTAGGACGTAATTGAGGCGCCCACTTGATCATGGTCCACGGTCCGGACATTATAACACTTTCTCACAGAGGGTCTGCGTGGCGTTTGCGAAGACTCTTCGCAGGATCGGACAGGGCACTGGATAGCCGCGACGTGTTACATGCCGGGAGGCGTTTTGGGACTGAATTGCTTTCGCGCTTCTGGCGATACTGGAAGCTCCGGCTCTTTGAGCACTATTTTCCACCGGAAGCTGCAAAGCTGGGAAGCCCAGGCCTCAGGGATGCGCATGGCTTGGCATTTACGACGCACGTCGAGTTGAGATACCTCAAAAGGAGTTTTTCGCATCTGCGACGGTTGAATTACGACGACCTGGTCTGGGTCTGTATAGACTGCTGTACATCTACGGCCCCTCGTGCTCCCGTGGAGGTATGGAGCACGTTATCGAAGGAAGAATTTCAGCATGGCGCGGCTGTGGTTTATATGAATGCTGATTTTTCAATCACCCGATGCTTGGTGTAATCTGAAGCTTGCTTCATCATGCCACCCAAGAGGCGATACTGATTGTCGTCCTTCGTCAACCACGGCAGGAGATACGATGTGATTGTGGATGCTCTATTCACCAAGCTCAAGCCTGGAGCTCAAGACTATCTAGCGTCATCTTTCCAAATGCCTAATAAAGTGAAATCCATGACCTGGTTTCTTCTCGAGAGTGGAAGTAGTATGGAGCCTAGGGATTGAAATAGAGGCCTCCGGCCACCTCAACTTGGAACTAAATTCTTACTAGCCAGGTACCACAACCTCTGAGCCGAGGGTTTTTCAGTAAGTCACCGCATTCTGGGAATGCTTACGCTTTCACAGGTACTATACCACTACTTCGACATTTCATGTCGGAAAGGCGCTGTTGCTCTGACGGTTGCATTGGCTGAAGTTCGGAGCGCACCCCTCTTCAGCAGGCAGCCTGACAGTTGGAAGTCTGTACCGGAGACTCTGATTTGCGGGGCAAAAAGACGGCCAACCAAGGCGCTGAAGGAGAGACAGACAGTAACCCCACCACAGCATGAGAATAAAGCGCACAATAGAAAGAAAGGATGGACGCAGTTCAAAAAGTGGATGGAGAAAAATGATGAGAGCTGCAGGATTCGAACCTGCGCGGTTTCCCACCGCGGTTTTGGGTTCAGTGACACTCACTAAGACCTAAACACGGCGCCTTAACCACTCGGCCAAACTCCCAGGACGTGGACTGTGATCCAATGAATGATCCAGGGCTTCTTATTTGGCTACCAGTTGAGTTTGACAAATCCCAGACTTGCCAATCGGTTTTGAAACCCTGACGGTGGGCATGGTGGGGTGCTGGTGGATCCGTCTGATATGATAAGGATAAGCCCGCTTTCTGTCTCAACTTCCCGTCGCATACGGATAGCTGCTTCGAGTCACCCTTCGAGCGAGTCTTCGGATACAGATACGCAGACGGACCAGGCTATGTAATCTGTTGAAGGCCCCGTTTTGCGACCCCAGCCATTTCAATCGCTTGACCGGCATCTATTTACCGACCTTACCCTCTTCCTGACGCTCTAGCGCAAGAAGGTCGCCCGTCCCGCCAGAATGCCCTCCTCCGATGACGAAGCCCCCGGGGCCTCCTTTCCCCCCCTGAACCCCGCGCCGCTGGCCGACGAAGAAGAAATCGGCACCGGCGGCCGTATTCGCGGCCCGGCAGTCGACGACCCCGACGACGCCGACCCCGACGAGGGCGCCCAGGACTTCCGGCTGTTCGCCTCGCTGCTCGCCAAGAACGGCGGCGGCGGCGGCGGCGGCCGGCAGAAGAAGGCCGCCGGGTCCAAGACGCTGCGGCGCGGCGAGAAGGACTTCGAGTCGCACGGCACGCGCGCCCAGGAGGGCGCGCTCGAGTCGAGCCGCGACGCCATGCACGACGTCCTCGGCTACACGCGCACGCACCGGCCGGCCGACCTGCTGAAGGGCTGGTACTTCCCGGCCACGTGGGCGGACCTGCCTGCCGCTGCCGCTGCCGCTACCACTGCCGAGGACGAGGCGGCGGCGGCGGAGGAGCGCACATCGTCGTCGGGAGGAGAAGAAGCGGGCGGGGGGAAGAAGATGGCGATGGCGACCTTTTGCGCGCGGGACAGGGTGGTCATGCTGGAGTCGGAGAGGGGCACGCTGCTGAACACGACCGGCCGGGTCATGACGGGCGCCGGCGTGTCCAAAGCGGCACCCGGGGCGCTCAAGACGTGGCTCCTGCCCGAGGAGGCGCTATACCTGGTCGAGAGGGGCTCGATGGACCTGTGGTGGCCGGCGAGAGGCATCGAAGATGTCCTCTCCGCGTGCCCCGCTGCGGACAAGGGCAAGTTGGGTGAGCAGGCCGCCGCGTCGGACACTCTTGCCGACTACGAGCTCGGAATGCCGCTCAGCTTCCAGGCGGCGTACGCGCTCTTCATCGGCCACGACGGGGAGAGGGGCAAAGTCAGCCTGGAGAAGTACCAGGTCTACGCCCACCTCCGGCGGACGGGCTACGTGGTCGGGAGGGCGCCGTCCATACCGCCGCCCCCTCCTGCGCCGAATCTCACGGCGCAGCGTCGCCCCTCCTCCCTGTGGCAATGGCTCTTCTCCCTCCTGTCACCATCGGCCAACAACCCGTCAGCACCATCTCCATCACAAGCGCAGCGCCCGCCCCACCACCACGGGCCTCTCGTCAAGCCCGGCCTCTACCGCTCCTACGCCCCCATCTTCGCCCAGCTGGCCCTGGTCCAGCGCCACCAGCCCGTCCCGAACCCGCTGGCTCCTCTACGTTCCCCGCCCCCGCCCCCGCTGCTGCCCGAGGACCCCTTCCGGATCTGCTACCACGTGTGGGCCGGCGAGGGGCCCTTCTCCAAGACGCGCCCGCCGCCGCCGCGCTTCCGCATCGCCGTCGCCGACGCGCGCCGCTCCGCCGTGCCGACGCTCGAGCAGCTCGCCGCGCTCGTCGAGTCCACGCCCTGGGATCCGCCACCTCCCCCTCCTCCTCCGACTCCTCCCCCGCCGCATCATCATCCCGGACAGCAGCGTGGAGGAGGACGTGGAAGGGGAGGAGGACGCGGAGGCGGTGGCGGCGGCGGCGACGGACAGATGTGCCGCCGCCTCAAGCACGGGTGGCGCCGCGCCCTCGTCGCCGTCGTCGACGGCGGCCTCATCAGCTACCTCAGCCTCGCCGAGGCCGCCTTCGGCGAGGAGAGGCTGTACGCGAGGCCCGGCGGCGGCGGCGGCGGGCCGGGACGCAAGAAGGGTGGGAGGAGGGGTGGCGGTGGAGGAGGAAGGGGAGGTGGTGGCGGCAGAGGTGGACGTGGTGGCGGCGGACGCGGTGGGAGGGGATGAGGGAGGGGGTTGGGTGTCTTGTGGCTGCCGTGGGCCAGGATTCTGAAGTTGTTATACCATGAGGTATCCCACGCTGAAGATGGGGTGTGGGTGCTTCCCCCCTCCTGTCCGACTCTGGGAACTACTCCCGCTCTAGATGCGGTCCCCCCCTTCGCCGCAGGTGTCCTGGGCTGACTCTGCACCAACGCCTGGGCCACTGGACGGTGGTCACTCGGTGAAGTCTCGGCTCTTGGGCGAAGACAATACAAGACGAAGGAAGCCAATGCGTACGTATATATCATCGTCTCCCTCCTGCGAGAGGGCGTCTGTGACCGACTGCAGATCAACAGCTCGCCGTGGGCAGCGTCGCGGAAGAATACTTGTTGACGGGCTGATTGATCCCTGTCGTGTTGTAGTAGTGGCAAGTCCTTGTGCTTGTGATCGCATGGTATATGTGTGGGTAGATAGGACTTGGGGAATATCCAATATAGAGGAAGATACCTACAGTCATAGGGCAAAAGTATTCGTCTGGGTCCTCGGGTATTAGCGGTGTGAAGCCGGACGAATACTTTAGCCCCGTAAGTTTACCTTAGGTTCCTAACCCCCAATACAGCACTCTGGTGCGCATAGTCTTGGGCGGCTGTTCTACTTGGAGGGACTTGCTGAAGACTACGGCGAGGAAACTAGCGTTCTATACTGGCTAGGTACTTACCTCATGTAACTTATCTATGTCTACCGTGTCTGCAGCTGCAACTGACCCTGCAGAGAGATCCCCCTTGCGCGGGTTGGTGAACTGGGTTTGCAGAGTTGGGAAGCTGGAAGGTGGGTACCTCACTGGCTTTGTCGATGTTGATCGCAACTGTAAGTTATCCGGTAGGTAGGTGTGTATCTAAGGCAGGTGGTAGAGGCCGCCCGACTTGAAATACTAACCTCTGGCTAGGTTCTTATATAGGTACTGATAGAGAGTTTAAGAGCAGTAATATGGCAGGCGCGCTCAAGAGGTAGTTGTCTGTATGAACACTGGTATCTGACGGCAGGTACGCCCGATCTAGTCGTGCTTCAGGGAAGAAGTGCACATAGCAACGCACAGCAACACATAGTCATCAATGTACATCAACTTGTGGCATTGTGAAGCCTTCCAAGTTTGTGCTAGGAAGCCCTAAACTGAACAACAACCCGGTAGCCAGTCAACCTCGAGGCAGGAGTCAGCAATTTAGGAACAGAACTTGCTGTCACCACTACAGAAGGTTAATGCCAGCGCAATAGTTCCACTCCAGTTCTGGGTACAACGTGCTCAGGTGCTAGCAGTCCGGGCTTGCGTCAATTACACGGTTATCTCATGACTTGTCAGAGTGGTTCATGTGGCTTGATGAAAAAGTTACTTGCAACTGAGTTCACACCTCCGCGAGAGTTGAGTTCATGGCTTGGATGCTTGCTTTGTGGTTATTGCTCATGGGACCGGTATTCAAGTTCTTAGTTTTCCGGGGCTGGATGGGGTTTTAAGGTTCTCGGTAGGGTTTATATGTTCCATTACCTACGCCGATTGATTCTAACTGCGAGCTTATTGCTTGCAAGCCTGTCTCTTGCAAGTCTCTTCTGTCGTGGCGCGGGGGACTGGGGAATATGAGCCACCCCGTTGAATGAGTGATTTGACTTAGCGTACAAATTCAAGTTCGAAGGTTGTGCTCGAAGGTTGTATTCAAGGGCGGTGTCTAAGCGTCGTATGCACCTTTCAGTCTTATTCCCATGGGCAGTGGGTTGATCCTGGTTCAGGTATGCAATGAGTTGTTACTCACTACTGAGGGGGCATACCGGTGACTGCCAGCAGTATGATTTCTTGAAGTTACAGTTGATGGACTTGATATCCCACCTGTTTCTTTGCAGGCTATTCTAACGTTGTCATCCATCATATCTGATATATCTATAGCCAACTCACGATCTGCCTGTTTCGCTACTTCATTGCTATGCCTCATGCTATCGTAGAAAAAAGCCATGGATTATGGGAGTGGCAAACAGGTTTATGAAAGGGGTCATTAGACTCAGACAAGATGTCCCACATTGATAGGTACTTAGGACCTGAGCTGAGATATCTATGGGTGAGACAAATCGCAGAACTCATGTGTGACAGCCCAATGATACGTCCCCTGGGTCCTCATCTGCGCATACCCGTAACCTGGAGGAAGGCTAGCAGCGTCTGTATCCTAGCTTCTTTGTCTTTGCGGATAGGTGACTTCCCGAGTTGGTTCCTAACCGCCATACTAGGTAGGTAGCTTAATGGGTACAGTACCTTCTCGATCTCAGCTCCACGGGTTGCTGAATAATGGTGCCTGTTGTCAAGGCCAGACATCTCCTGATTCCGCTCACATATACCTCGCATAACCCCGAAACAAAAGCTATACATACAGACACAAGCTGAATAAAGATGATATTCAGCTCGGAGTGCCCGGAGTGTTTGCTGGGTACCTAGATTACCTGTGGTCAGGGTTTGGCCTCCTTGTTACTATGGAACCCTGTGCAACATATCAATTTCCTTTCATCCGCGGATACAAGGACGCACGGGAGCGATGATCGACCTATCTGGGCAGACAAGCAACCGATGGCAGCGCAACGCAAATATTCAATATCCAAACCTCCCAGCTCGCCGAGACCTACTGGGCCTATGTCTCACAACATCTGGCATAACTTGATGAGGGACTTGGTACACGAGAAGCAGAGAGGGTAGGTGGGGTCATTGGAGGACTCTCGGCAGCGCCACGGACGGGCCGGACCAGCGAGTGGTTCTCATCAGATCTGATGGTAGCACTGGAGTCCTTGTGTTACGTTATTGCTGATCGCTCAATGGAAAGGGGGCGGGATCGTCAAGGGGGGGTTGGAGGCATATCGAGCAT